TTCTTGAGTAGTGTTCCCGCCGTTCGAGCGCGAGAACAAGAAACCCGTCTCAAGAACAGGCCGCCCGAACTCGACCGTTGAACTTTTTATACACGATATTTTTATATCTTTGGTGAATTTTTTACACTATATTGATCACTTGCAACAGAAGTAAGTTTGCAATCGTGCCAGTAGGAATTCTCTTGTGAGTTTATGTTGGAGAAGAAACAGTGAGGCAGCTTCAATGTTTCGGACAGTATATTGGTCTGTCCACAGTATGCATTTACAGAATTAAAAGAGATTAAAGAGAGAAGAAAAAACAACAGCAATTCTTTTTGTATCTATATCAACACCTAAATAAAAAGTTTAAAATGACTTGGAGTAAATAAGTGTTAACTTTGCGGGACAGTGTGGCCTAAAAAGATCTAATTGTAGTCTTTCTAAGACTCCTTTCCGAGAACGCTTGTTTTTAATCAGACGTCATATGATGTTTGCTGGTCACATCGTTTTCGTGAGAATACATCAAAGGAATGCTGCACGTTTTAGCTGGTTTCATTTTTCATTTCATAGTACACGCATTTGTCCAAAAATACTTCGTTGAACAAATATGCACAGAGAGGGCGCTAAGCATTGACCAAACGTGTGATCCACTATCACATGAAATGTTTTGTGTTTGTCTAGGTGTGCCACCCAACGTGTATGTGATGCAACGGAAGTCGGAAGACATTTTAGATCTTCGTAATCCCCTCATAATGCTGTGTCGCTACTTATTTGAACACAAGACCTTGAAGCAGTCACCGACGTGCTTTGGTGTTTGAAAAGTGTAAGGTGGGCTTCTTTGCAGTCAACGTGAATCAGCACCAACTGCTCGTTTTATAGCAAGACAGGACAGTCGGCCATTTTCGCTTCCGAGGGGAGGAGGGGTCACTGAGGACAGATTTTGAGTCACGAGAAACTGATCGCTTCCGCCGCAAGATCGCCGGACTTTGAGCTCCGTGGACGCCAAGAAACCATGTTCTTCGACGAAGATGGAGAAGGAGATTTTGGACCTCCACCCGGAAAGTATGAGACTTTTCCCCTTCAATTATGCCCTAATTTTGTCAGTCGCGTGACTTGTAATTATCTGACACTCAGTGCCAGTCATGCCAGGGCAGCAGTACTTTGTAGGCCTAGTACTAGGACTAGTATTAGTAATACTATCGCTATCGTCTATATAGACCTGTAAACAGGGCCCGACGAATTCTCCTCCATAGCATACTGGGCCCTGTCCCGATTCATAGGGATTTCTTTGGAAAAGTTTTAGCCGGGATATTCGGTGGCATAGGGGCCTACATGTAGCTACACATCCGTTTGATTTTATGACTATGAGCTGAAATTGCACCAGTACGTTCACTACTTATGGGGTAAACTTTCCGCTAGGTGGTTAATTACAGAATACTCACCGTTTTCTCGTTTGGAGGAAAAAATGTTGCCTTTTTTGCCGTTTTCCCACTCTGATTTTGTCCCACTGAGACAAAATTGATGGCGGTTTCATCACTTTCGTGTCACGTCACAGAGAGTGATCCACGCTACCAATGATTTGCTGCAAGCCATGTGTGACTGGACAGGGAACCAGCCAAGGGTGTTGCGTATTGCGACACAAAACAGCCGTGATTTTCCACGAGTACTTACATGTAGATCGACAGGTTCTCTTGCAGATCTTAATGAAATTTGTAAGTGCTGAAGTCTGGGTGAAAATTAGACAGGCTCTCGTACAGGGTACCATTACTTAACCATACAAAGGAATCAGTGTAATGTACAAGTCAGGCCAAAATTCGTCCAGAGTAGGAAAATGGCAAAAAAGGCCACATTTTTTCCTCCAAACGAGAAAAAGGCGAGTTTTCTACAATTAGCAACCTGGCGGAAAGTTTACCCCGTAAGTAGTGAACATACCGGTTCAATTTCAGCTCATGTTATCAAGTGGATGTTTAGTTATGCCCCCGGATATCCCGGGTAAATTTTTTCGTAAGAAATCCCTATGAATTGGGACAGGGCCCAGTATACGACGGAGGAGTATTCGTCGGGCCCTGTTTACAGGTCTATCGTGTATAGTGACTCACTCCTGACGTGGTGACAATGCCTCAATTCTCATTGGTAATGTCAGGATTGTCCGGTCATTTTCCTAGGCCAGTTTGTCACTTGGTTCATTGTATTTTGAACGTAACTAATGGTGTAACAGCACTAACTTTGAGTGAAAAGAGTTCCATGCATGCCGTACGCAATGACAGACATCCCTATCTACGTCAACAAGCGTCAACAACTTGAAAATAGGTCTACCCTCCAAACATTTACAAGTTGTTTTTATCGTGTTTTACAGACTCTAAGACCTGCTACTGTGTAAGAGAAACATTGAATTTGCTTCCATATTCTCACAGAAAAATGAAAAATTTTTGCAATGTATGATTGCCGCCATCTTTTTTACTCTGCCATCCACATGAAAACACGATGCCGGCCGGTCGGGCTGCAACCCCAAGTTGTTCACTCAAATTTCAACTCTCTAATATCATTTCAGATGTGTATGATACATTGAATAGGAGCCTAATTAATATTTCAAATGAAACAAAATTCCATAAATGTGCTTGAATAACTTGTTGACGCTTTGTTGATGCTCGTTGACGCTTGTCGACGCTAAATAGCGTGACCCCGATAGGGCATTGTGTACAGCATAGAAGAAGCAGACTTACGATGTAAGCTATCATTGCAGTTTTAATGTAGGCCTACATTATTTAGAACGAAAACAGACTTCTTGTTTCAGAATGCCGTGACGTGGATTTGTATGTGCGTCCATGCATTTGCTTCTCTCACCGAAAACATACCTGTGCGTCCAGGAAGAAGACATTATTTTAAGAGTTTGCCAAACATGGAGTGACATCTTGAATGATGTGGCGCATTTTGATTTATATTTTTGGACACGGTGGAGACAGAGTGTCCTGACTGATATTAAAAAACCAAAAACAAAATGAATTCATCCACCTTTATGATTCACTGACTTATTGCATGCCTTCCAAGTGCTGTTGTGGGTTTTAGCAGGGTCACAGCAAACTTGGGGGCTAGCGATGTGTGCTACATGTACATGTGTGATCGAGACTTACAGGCTAATTGTATGTACTAGTAACTTAAATAAAGTTCATGGTTAACTGTGTATATAAAGTATTTACAACAGTGCAGAATTATTCAACGGGATTTTCCAATGATTGGAGTAGTGAAATTTTACCATTCATTCCTTATGTGACTGGTTACAAAAGAACAGCAGCAAAAGGGGTCAAGTGGCATTTGTTTAAAATGATATGAAAGCAATTTAAAGGGTACGAGTCGTAAGGATGAATACATGTACATGTCTCTCAGTCAAACCTTTGTAATGCACCACATTCAATACAATAGGGGCTTTGTGCAGTAGCCATCTTGCAGGGCAGTTCCTTTGTTCCGTAGGGGAACCCCTTTTGTGCACACCCTGTGGAACAAAAGTACTGGCCTGTAAGATGGCTACCATGAAAATCCTGTATAGACAAAGCCTGTTTTTTCTCATTATTTCCAATTACATGTTTCCCTGAACTTTCCCCAGTTCAAGGTCTGTGATGGCCAAGATGGGTTAGAGAAGACACAAAACCGGCAAAGTTGAACACGGCCAAAGACAAGGACGCCCCCATTATAGACACAGCCATGGCATCACACATTTTTGTGTCCGACAAGACTCAACCTTGGTAT